TTAGACTAGTAGGATAAGCTCTTCTTTGTGTACTAACTTTGCCCAAACGCATATATCAAAAACATATACATCATGTGTAAATTTACTGTTTATTTCATATTAGAGACAAAAGCAAGTGATTAGTTAAAGTAAACTTAAAAACAATAGTTCTGTTCATTTGTTTGTAAATTTAATTCGACGTTTATCTTTGCAAAAAATATTGATAACATCTTCCACATTCAAATTTGATGCGATATCATGATGAATGTGAATTAAAGCAAGATTACTTAATCTTTCATCACCAATACTGTTTCTCAAAATAGTTATAATACGTTTCATTGTTGAAAATGATCGTTCAGCAGTAGATACTGTAACTGGTAATATAGCGAACAATTCAAACAAACAATATAAATTAGGGTAGAATGATCGAAGGGATAATAAAGCATTTAATGAATCAATTACATTAGATGGCTTCTTAGCAATCGAAGTTTTTTTCCATTTATGCTGCCACATATCAAATTCAGTTGCTAACAGGTTCATATCATTCGATGGTAAATCATCTTTGTAGAAATCAAATGCTTGTTTCACATTATTAAATTCCTTTTCGACAACATATGAAGGCAATAAATTGAATACATTAGTTAAAATTTTTTGATGTTTACTGAATCGATTTCCAAGCTCTGTTAATGTTGTTTCAATAAATGTTTCATACATATTCTTTAAATAAGCACTAACATTTTCATATTTGTTCGTTCTTGGAAAAGTAAGAATGATATCCCTCTCACCTGCGAAATTTTCCAGCTCCGTTTCAGGTTCATTAAATTTTGTTACATCATATTTTAATTCGGCAAGGTACAATGCTACTTTTTCAATATTGTCATAACATTGCGCCAAATCACAGTTTTTGCTTTGAAGTACTTCAGTGTATGGCTTTAAAATAGCAAAAATATGTGATACGACAGAGAGACAGATGATAAAGTCTAAATCTTTAATGCATTTGAAATATGCACGAGCATTTGCACTTGTTTCTGCATCAGCATTTTCCATCAGATATTCCAATAAAGGCATCACACTAGTAAAAAGTTGTTTGAAAGCCAAAATAGAACTAGCTTTTTCCACCCAACGATGGTCTACCAGTGTGGTGAGCTTTTGCCGTTTAGTGTCACAAGTGGTAGCTTCTACAGCTTTTTTTAAATAAGTTTTGCCTTTTCGGCGAAGCACTGATAAATGTGGGTGTGGGTATGGGTGTGGGCATGGATGTGGGAGGGTGGGGTGTGGGTGTGGGTGTGAATGAATGTGGATGTTAATCTGGCTCATGTTCACACACATACTCAAACCACACATCCACACCCACACCACCCCCTCCCCCCCCACCCCCACACCTACCCACACCCTCTCGCTGCCATCAGGCGAACCACTAATTACAAATTTCCATCAACAAATAGAACATCAATAAGAAATAGCGAACTATGTATCGAGTAGTTCTAAAACGAGATCATTAGATTGTTCTAAAATCGACGACAAGTTTTCATTTTTATCTGGTCCGCCCTTAGAATGCAAAACAGAGACAACGATTTTCATCTATTAGTATATCTACTATATAGAAAGAATGGAAATGTAGGTTTTTGAGCAGAATTCATCAGGTGTAGTATTTTTTCATTCCAAAACCTGAAATCAATTTTTCGGGTTCACAACCACTAATGTTTTATCTAATTCATTGACCAACATTGCTGCATAAATGTGCCCAGCGTGCTTTGCATTAGACTAACAAAACAGCTCTTTGGGTACTTGATCGATGTCTATTGTGTTGATTGGCTACAATCGTCTAGCGTTTGTCTAGCTTGATGCCATTCGTGAAGAAATTCAGTAACATTGGCGTATCGATCTTTAGGATGATCAGCTATTGCTCGACAAGCTATCTGATACAACCGATCACTAGCCTCCCATTTGGACCGGGACCTGTTAAGTTCACCACCGATGAGACCGAAGGCACATGCACCCATGCGGAACACGTTTGTTCGATGATTGAGTAGAGTAACGCCACTGAGCTCTTCTGGTGACAAGTACCGCAGAGAACCCCAAGGTGGTCGCGCTGCTTGGCACGGTATTTTTTCATAAAAATCGATATCACATATTTTGAGTGTATTTGACTCAAAATCGTACAAAATGCTGCCATCGTAGAAATCGATTGCCACGTAATCTAATCGATCGACATGTTCATGGAACGAGAAGATCGCTTCGAGAGCTGTCAAGCGTTGTTCAACTGGTAATTGACGAAAACGATAGTAGGGTGATTTCGGGTGTTCATATTTGGCGGGTGGTGGATAGGTCCAATGGGAGTGCAGGCACTCACCATTGTCGAACCATGGAAAGATCAGAGCGAAGCCTCCGGTTTCTTCTACGGGAAGCGCCATTTGCATAGTCAATAGGTGTTCGTGGGGTTGTAAATCTTGATAGACAGTAACAGCTCGCCGAAGACGAGTGACAGCATCTTGTGGAAGACCCTCGAATGAACTAGGATGAGCTCCAGCGTACTTGACGAAGACACGTTCCCCATTGGAATTAAAACAGCCGAAGGAAATATTGCCGGAATCCTGCTGATCGAATACACAGAAAACAGAACCAAAATTTGACTGGAGCCAAGTAAAATTATGCTCTTCACGCAAGTCAATTGCTAACGTCGTTCCGTCGGCAAGATCGAGCTGCATTGGAATATCAGAGTCTGAAAAATCATTCGACTTATGAAGTATTTTTTTTTTCTTTTCTTTTTCTCTCAATTCGAAAGGATCCTGATCATATCGCAGGTGATTAAAACTCGAAGCGGTCGTGTTAGACTCGACTTTTTTTTGACATTTTGCTAACGATGCAATCAACCAGAAAAACAAAACAGACGAAAAGTTGATGAAAATCTACTTAGACGTACTGTTTGCATACTTACTGATCCAACCTTACTTTTAAAGGATGGTGCACACGATAGGGGCGAGCACGAGTTGTCTTTCCTTGCTGATTTTCATCTGCACCATAATGAAAGCTCCAAAAGAGGACGAAAACAGTGTACAATATGTGTTCTGTTCCTTCCAATACTGCTGAATTGAAAGTGTACGTGTCTGCAATGAAGTCTCCTTTTTTTCTCGTTCTTCTATTGTCGTTATTCAATCTTCTTTCATAGTTTCGCATCGATGTCATCTCAACGTTAGTCTACGTGAATCAAATAGTCACTCACTGTTTGATTCGGAGTACCACTTTGAACATAAAACGATCTGATTTGAAGTGTTATCTATGCAGCAACTCTTTTATGTAACACTGCTGCCATACAAAGGCGAAGATTGTGGATGTGTGGGGAGTGTGAGTGTGAGAAAACGAGAAAATTTATATCCACATCCTGTTAGAATGCTGCATATACATTTTGATGAATTCGTTAGGCGCTTGATGAGGTTGATAATCTTCTTATATACCTGATCATAAACCTTTTAGGTCATTGGTGATAGCTATGAGTGCTTCTAAATTTCCTTTCGAAATACGCTACTCGAGTATTGTGTTTTCATCTACCCTTTCAGAACAAGTTCCAGAGAGTATTTGAAAAGGTTTATGATGGATTTAAAAAAGTGCAACGAAGAGCAAACTCTTAAATGTGTGCTGCATGCACAGCAGAGTTGAAACCGGTATGTTTTTTCCTTACCAGTACCAGTCGAAATGGACAAGCTGGGCTGATCTAAGCGATCAGTAGACTGGCATGAATCATTCTATTTTTTGCTGATCTTAAAATAGCCAAAGCAAACTCTCGATGAGTTATATTCGTCTTCTAATTACTACAGTAATTACATAATAGTTCAGTTTGACTACTATAGTGCTTTTCACTATTTATTTTCATAAGTTTTCTGTTTGTTGGCATCTATCGGTAAACAGAAAACTCCACTCGAAAATTCCACATTTGCTTGATCCACAGATAAACTGTTCGTCAGATACGGACTACATGAAATAACTGTATATTTTATCTAATTTTCACGTTATAGTTGCTTTGTTGTCTCTTATGCCTATGCGAAACATATGCTATAAAAGTTAGGAAACACAAATAAATCTGAAATAAATTAGAAATACGTGACGTTTACTAAGATGAATTTGGATTGACTAGAATACTTCGATACATCTTCCTTCACAGAGTCTTCGATATTAGTAAAAAAAGTGTTTGATTTACAAAAAAAAGATACACTTTTATAATCAATTTATTGATAAAAAAGATACCGAGTCAAAAGAACTGAAACAGCCCGGTTTTGAGCGACCGTTTCCCGTTACCGGTCACAACTCTAATGTACTTACTACGTTTTAAAGAAAAAGCCATGGATTGGGTCCAGTCAACACTAATCTATGGAACGGCTTTCTTTGCCCCAACCCAGCCTATTGAGATCTCTATGATGAATACAATATTGTTCTCAGTTTAAAACAAAACTTTTAATGGTCAAAATCTCTCAAGACGAGCAAGTGTTTATCATTTTTTTCCATCATAATATATTTCGTAGCCATCCGACGAGAAACACTAAAAACTAAAATCGAATATATGTCAAACATAATAAAACTTCATGCATTTGGCATGGTTCAGCTTTTCTAGACGTCTTTGTTTGTTTTCAGCTGTAATTTTTCTGAGTTCTACTACAAAGGTACTGTTCCAGTAAATCAACAATCACATTCTCACGAATTAACACACCAATATCTATCCAACTATGAAAGGAAACTTAGAAAAAGTTCACTCAAATTTCGAATGGTCGACATCAATAAGCTTGCGTATAAATATAAAAATAACAGAACGAAAAATTCACCTGGCAACTAGATGTATAGAACAAAAGCAGCTAAAAGAGCGTTTTAACTCAAATGAAAAGAAAAAGAAGGAAGTCGGGCATGCGATGTCGATTGAAGAAAATATTTACTCATTTCGACACACATCGATTTTCTTCATACTTCTTTATTATTTTTTAATATTTTGGAGCTCAATTTTACTAAAATAGGACAAATTTCTTTTAGTCGTCATGCAACAATCATTAACATCGAGTAATAAAACAAGAAATGATTTTTCACCGAATGCATTGTTAACTACAACAATTCATGAAAATAAAGAAGATATAACACTTATTTGGTTTGATCCTAATATTGAATTACGTCGAGATTCGGAAAAAACACAACAACAACTGCGTCTTATTAATGATTATGTCATTTTTTCTTCTGATTTCGATCAATGCCTCACGTTTATTCAATCAATTAGTGAAGAAAAAATCTTCCTAATTACATTGGAAACAGAAACACCACAGATTTTATCTTACACTTTTGCTTTTCGTAAAATCGATTCAATTTTCATCTTCAATATCGAAAAAGATCGAGATGACTATTTATTAAAGAAATATCCAAAAATTATTGGAATTTATATGAACCTTGATGATTTATGTAAATCATTAAAAGAACAAATTGATCTTGTCAATAGACAAATACAAACATTTTCCTTTTTTGATCAACATCAAAAATCCACTAAAGATTTATCTAAAGAATCAGCAGAATTTCTTTGGTTTCAATTATTTAATTATGTTATTGCTCGTCTTCCACGAAATCAACAAGCTAAACAACAAATGATTCAAATATGTAAAGACTATTATCATGGAAATACAAAAGAAATAGAATTAATTCATCAATTTGAGCAAAACTATCTATCAAAAGATGCACTTCTTTGGTATTCAAAACAATCATTTATTTATAAATTAGTTAATAAAGCTTTAAGAACCAAAGATATCGATTTATTGTATATGTTTCGATTTTTTATTGAAGATCTCTCTAAAAATCTTCAACATGAACATGAAAAGATTTTATTATCAAATGAAAATACTTTAAATGTTTATCGAGGAGTTAAACTTGATAAAGAAGAATTTAATAAACTAAAATAAAATCAAGAAAAACTTATTTCAACAAATGGATATTTATTAACTAGTCGAAGAAGATCATTAGCATTAAGTTTTGCACTAAAATCAACAGAAAGAATCAATGTTGTTTCTGTTCTTTTTCATATTCAATGTGATATTAAACAAACTGATAAAAATATTACTTTTGCTGATATTCGTCAATTTAGTGCATATCCAGCAGAAGAAGAAGTTTTATTTGACTTAAATGCTTGTTTTCAAATTGAATCTATGCAAGAAAATGAATCAGTACATATAATTAAAATGAATCTTTCAAATGAAGGACAAAAAATTACTAAAGATTATATTGAATTAACACAAAAAGAAACAGAAGAAATAAGTGTTTCAATTATTTTTGGACGATTATTGTGTGATTTAGGTGAATATGATAAATCACAAAAATATTTTCAATATTTATTCAACAGTTCTCAAAATGAAGATCGCTCTTGGATTGAATTTAATATTGGCCGATGTCTATATCTTAAAGGTGAATGGAATGAAGCGCGAGAATATTATGATCATGCATATGATCGAATGATGAAGAGTAAACCAGCACGAGTGAAAGATTCTGCTCGTGTTCTCAATAATATCGGTGTTATCTTGATAATCAAGGAAAATACGATGAAGCTCTTGATTATTATCAGCGAGCATTGAAAATTCGAGAAGAATTTTATCCATCTGTTCATATGGATATTGCTACAAGCCTCGGAAATATCGGCATTATTCTTTGTGAGCAAGGAAAATACGATGAAGCTCTTGATTATCATCAACGAGCATTGAATATACAAGAAGAATTGTATCCATCTGGTCTTGCTGATATTCCTCATAGCTTCGACAACATCGATGGTACTCCGTGTACTCAGAGAGAGTATGATAAAGCTCCCAATTATTATCACGAAGCAGAGGAAACCCGAAAGAAAGTTTATATATCTGTTCACATCAACATTGCTACAAGTCTCAACTACATTGGTATCATCCTTCGGAATCAAAGGAAATACAATGAAGCTTTGGAATATCATCAACGAGCATTGAAAATTCAACAGAAACTGTATCCATCCAGTAATATTAGAATTGCCTATAGCCTCAATAACATTGGTGTAATTTTTTGTGATCAAAAAAAGTACGATGAAGCTCTTCATTATTATCAACAAACATTAGAAATTCACCAGAAATTTTATCCATTCGGTCATGTGGACATTGGTAGAATCCTCAACAATATTGGTATTATACTTCGTAATCAAAGGAGATACGATGAAGCTCTTGCTTATCATGAGCGCGCATTGGAAATTTTACAGAAATTTTATCCAACTGGTCATGCTGATATTGCTTATAGCTTCGACAACATTGGTGAGATTCATTATCATCAAAAAAAGTACGATTTTGCTCTCTGCGTTTATCAACAAGCATTGGAAATTCGAGAGAAGTGCCATCCATCTGATCATATCAACATTGCTGCAAACTTGAACAACATTGGTATTGTTCTTCTTAATCAAGAAAAGTATGATGACGCTCTCGATTATCATCAACGAGCGTTGAGAATTCGAGAAAAAATTCATTCATCTGGTCATGTGAAAATTGCACATAGCATTAACAACATTGGTGCTGTTCTCTGTAATCAAAAGAAATACAATGAAGCCCTTGTTTGTCATCGACAAGCATTTGAAATTCTACAGAAACTCTATCCAACTGGTCATGCTGATATTGCTTATAGTTTCGACAACATAGGTGACATTGAATGTCGTCAAGAAAAGTACGATGTTGCCATCTATTATTATCAACAAGCATTGAAAATTCGAGAGCAGTGTTATCCAACTGGTCATG